ACAAGTATCACCCGTTTGCAGCGAAGCAACAAGGTTTCCATAGATTTAGCTTCAGCAGCGCAGATCAGACAAGGAACAAGTAGTGTCTGAAACATCCTTTCTTTTATAAAGTGAAACAGTCCTGTTGTTGCACTACTTCCTGATAAACACATGGCTAGAGGAAGTGTTTTAAGCTTATAAGGTTGAACTTTCAGCCACCAGATCTTCTTCCATAAGCAAAAAGCTGTGCCTTCAGATGAATTAGAAGTTGGGTCCTGAACAACATCAATTTCTTGATTAGTATATACTCATACCTTAATAGAATAGGTCCAAAATAGGAAAAATAAAAGTATATTACTGCATGTTTGCTATACGGAAAAAAGAAATGAGAAATATATCTAGAAAGAAGATGGGATAGGTACACTTCTCATTTCTTTTATAAAAAACCATTTTCTACCTACTAAACATTGCATTATCGTCAGTCACAAATCAGTTTCTCTACCCTCATGACGCGAATTTCACGAGCCACAAAGCCATCACTAAGAGAAAGAAGATGCAAAGAATGGCAGCAATTATCTGAACAATCTTTGATATTTTCATCGTCACCAAAACTTCCCAACAGAGTGTGGAGCCAAAGTGTACATGCCTTCCAACTAATAAACTAGACCAACCCCATGAACCTCTTTATAGGAGGCCCTTACTCTAAAAAGAAAGTCACAATTAGGGAAACAAATATATACATATATATATAAGTAAATTAGGTAGAGAGCCTTCCCTTGAAAATCTTACATGCATAATATGTTCAACTAAAGCAAAAACATTTAATATTTTGGAAAAATTTAAATGAAGAAAGATATTTTAACTGATGTTGTTGAAAACTTCAAGTGTGTTCTTGAGATATGAAGAAACGTTAGTGTAGATGAGAATAAATCGCTTGAATATGTTGCCATTTTATATTGGTGTTGCAACAGATCATGAGAGTGTAACATGATTAACACCTGGCTTAGATGAGAGAGCGCCACAAGATTACACCTGCCTCAACAAGTATGTCATATGATGATAGCACCTGTCTTAAATAAAAGTAGATACCATGAGATAACACGTATCTTACTAAACTATTGTTGTCAAACATGCCGAGATTGTGAAAATACGAACAAAATGTTTGTATTTTAAAGCAACTCAATTAAGTATGAAGTTTGGAGTTTTATGTCACACCAGACACTAAGAAGAGAGTATCATGCAATTAAAATTTGAAGTGCCTTAAATAAGAATAGCGTGAGATGACTTCTATCTTAAACAAAAGTACTACAGAATTTAACACCTATCTCACACGTACAGATCATTATTGTCAACCATGCCGCGTTTGTGTGAACATGGCCAAAACATTTGTGTTGGAAGGCAATAATTCAGTTAGAAATATTGGCTAGTTATGTCCAATATGCGTAAATAAACTCATTTATTTAGTTTGATTTTTTGAACTAATTTTTTTTTTATAATACTTGTTTCATACCCTTTATGAGATAAAATTTAATACTCCCTCTGTTAAAAAATATAAGGCATTTTTTAAAGAATTGGATGTTAAAAAATGTAAGACATTTTTAATCTTTTAAGGTATAATTATTATCTTTTTTTTAAAAGTTTCTCTATTAATAATGACTTTATATTTAATAGGGATAAATATAAAAAAATAAGGTTAGTTTGAAAGTAGGTGTAAACATTTCAATTTAAATTTTAATAGTTAATTTAAATTAATAAAAATTTTAGAAAATATTTAAAAGTAAGCAAATTAGTAGGAAATAATTATTAAATCTAACTTAAGATATAATTTTAAATTAAAATTTTTAAAAATTATTATTATTATTATTATTATTGGAAAAGAATAAAAAGAAATGTAAAAGAGACAGGAAGAGAGAGGTAGAGGGGGAGATTAATAAATTAAATAAAAAAAAGAAAAAGAAGGATGAGGGACGGATGGTTATCCGTGCGTAGGTGAGTGTAAAGTGCATATACATATACATATACATATTTTAAAAAGAAAAAGAAAAAAAAAATATGGGACCCACATGCTTTTTAAATCTTCACATGCTAAATTTCCTTCTCATTTCTCCTTTCCTTTTCGTTTTTCTCTTCGTGCGAATAGAGATGGTGACGGTGCCTGCCTGTGCTGAAAAGCTAAGTTTTAAAGTTGAGGCTTCTTAATAAAATATTTAAGGTAAAATTTTAAGTTTTTTAAAATTATATAAGCGTTTTAAAAAATTTTTTTATTTATCTAGCCTCTTTGATTTCTGATTTTATAGTGGTAAAAAAAATTTAGGGTTTAGATGAGGGATGAATTTATATTAAATAAATGTGGTTGTTGAGGTTGTCAGTAGTATAATAAATGTTTTAGAGTATAAATTTGTTGATGGACATTGAATTTAAGGCTTATGGATTAAACACTAAACTAAATTTTTATTGAATCTAAAAATATATATTAATTTATTGAGATTTAAATAATTATTTGGAATGAGAAATGAATTATTATAACTATAGAATGATGATTTTAAGCTTAAGACTCAATTTGTAATTTTTGAATAATTTTATGTGTGAATTTATGACATGAAAAAGAAAATTTTGATGATAAAAATTGATTTAGAAGTTGATTTTAACTTATTAGTGTTTATTTATTACTAAAAGAGGAGTTAAAAATTTTATTTGATGGTACTAACTCTAGATTTATATTAAGAATGATATTAAAAATCATGTTATATTCTCTAATTCTATCATTAGAGTCATCTTATTAGTTTCAATAATTAAAACTAATATTTATAAATAATATATTATTTGTAGATTGTGTTGTTGGTGAAATTGTGGTGGAAGGAAAATAGTAAGGAATAATTTATTGAAAAAGTTACAAGATAACCATGCTTTTAATTTGTGATTAGTGTTACTTCATATTAATACATTGAGTTATTATTGAGAAAATTATGAATTATTTTTGAAAAATTATTTTATTATGTTTATGAAAAAATTGTGAAATTGTGAATATACATTTTAAAGTATTTTTGCCAAGTAGGATGTCATGTAATATTGTTGAAAATGAAAAAATTGTTAAGATTGTAATATTATATAATTTTACAATGTTGATATGAATTTTGTTTAACTATTGTGGGAGGTGTTGGAAGACTTACTGTTATTGTTGTATTTATGTGCCACGTGGTATGCTTCTATTGGAGACTCAATGGGTGGCTTGTAAGGGTTCGAGCTAATCTATCTTTGGCTGGATAATTTAACACTGAATGAGGGCTACGACTCAAGGATAATGGAGGGAGATAAGGATAGTTGTTTATTGTACATTGTAATATTTCTTGTATTTTTGTTGAAATCACATGACTATTGTTTCCCTAATTAGCAAGCACACATTTAGCTATTTATATAACTATCATAAATTGACATTGGTTACTGAAACTTTTGAGTCTCATTATGTAGTTAATAATTTTTTAGAAGAATAGCCACAAGTGGCGCGTTGAGAAGTCTTTGAGGCTTAGTAGCATAGATTCATTGTCTCTTTTGTGTATTTTAATTTTTGATTTTTAATGCGTATATTACCAATATTAGAGCTTTTTGTTTATTGATAATTATATGAATGTAATGAAATAATCATGCCCTTCAAATTATTTTCACTTTTGGCACACTTTGGATGATTGTAACTTTAATATCTGATTTATTTTAAATGGTTTGAAATAGCATGATTATGAGACCAAATATTTGGCTTATTTTGAAAATTGATTAAGTTGTTTATTTTAGTTGTTGGTTAATGATTTGCAGTTATTGGTCAATGGTTTGCACTTGTTGGAAGCATAAGGATGGAAAAAATGTGATTTTAGCCTAACAGCATGTGAAAGGTAAAAATTTATCTAAGACGTTGTATTGTACAAGTTTAAATCAATTGTTAAATATTTTTATATTGAATTTATTGATATAAAACGTATTGGGTGACTATAACCCAACTATGGTTGCAAATGTGTATTAATTGTATGAAATTGATTTGTATTATTTGAAAAGGAATCTTTTGAGCCTTTCACATTTATTTTATTTTTAATTAATTGGGATCTCAAATTTTAGAAATGACAATTTAAGGAATTAAATTCTACTTATCATAATAGTTCTTATTTCTCTAATTTAATCTTTTCTACCATGATAGTTATTTTAAAATGTGAAATATTTTATAAGACTATGTTTATCATTTCCTATCATGGTAGTATTTTAAATTATAGAATTGTTTCAAAAAAATAAGATAAATTGACTTTTGTTTACCATAATAAACACTTTTCTATCATAATTGAATTAAATTATTTTAAAAAAAAATTATGGTGTTACAATAAGTAACTAATTTATTGAGAGGTGAAATTTAATTAAAAATATCTAATATTTTTGAATGGAGGGAGTAGGATAAAATCTTATTAGATAAAACCTGATAAATGATTAAGTTTTGATACTAAAACATTAATTGGTGTGATATTTAATAGGCAATTCTTATAAGATAATATTTTTTAATAAGTAATATTAGTTTAACCCTATATTAGTGACTTTATTCTCTACCATGCACTTCCTCATGGCTCAAGTTAGAAAAATGCATAGTCATTGACATGGAGGCTAAATAAATACAACATGTAGTTAAGATTTTGAAATACGTATTCTCTTTGTTCTTAAAATAAGATTAATTTAAAAAAAATTTAAGAATAAAAGAGATACACTCAACAAATAATGATCTGTTCCTTCTTGATTCTAGAACGAAGTCTTAGTTTAGAGAAATTGAAATGCATGGTTGTGTGTTACCTATTCAGATAACCATGCTCAAAATCAATCTTTTATAATTTGAGTTTGAACTAATATATCTCCTAATCAAAATCAAATTTGAGAGACAATAAAGCCAGTCATCGTTCAATTTATCAGTATTTTGAACAATTAAATCATTTCATTTTTGGGTTCAAGCAAGACTATGAGGATGATAATGGAAGGCTTAGTTCAAGGAGAAAAGGTTAATAAAAGCACCATGAATGAGAAATTTAGCCATCAAAGTAGCAGTCAAACAGATCATAAAGCAAACATATGAAGAACAACTCACTAAAATTGGTCTCCCATCTATACCTTGTCTAGAACTTATATACTGAAATAAAATCATAAATTGCACGCACACATGCGCAAAAAATAAAGGAACAAGCAATCTGATGGAGATTCACAACCAACACAGAAACATAATTTGCAGCCAGCCATGAAATGAAAGTTAAATGTATACTATAATTAGGGTTTATAGTCAGGGCAGATTAGAATGAAATGAGATCATCATCTTTTGATGACTGCTGCTTCTTTGGATCTTGCCCTCCATTTGATGATGCATCCCCACCCTTCTTGCCAAATATCATCTCATCAAGATCATCCATCATATCATCATTGTTGCCTCCATGACCAACTTTCGAGCTAGCTGGTTTTCTAACCAATGCATCTTCTTGAGTATTAAGAGGTGACTCGTCTGGCTCAATGGCGACCGGTATCATAGCAGGTTCCTGCCTAAGAGGAGGAGCAGCAGCAGCAGGCTTATTCAACTCTTCATACTTGGTGAGAACCTTCTGGATGTCATCATTAACATTCAAGGCCTCAAAAAGAAGTGCCTCGTCATCTCCAGCAGTCTCCACAATTCTCTGTACGATATATTGAGACTGACGACACTGTTGTACAAGAGTTGCTGTCAAATCATCCTGCAGATAAAAGATCAGATTTATAACTCCCGCCATCATCAGTGTTAGGGTGTGCTTATTTTCTTTTAAGGAACCTTGCAAGTCTAAAACTGATGCACATCTAAAGGGTATTCAAATCGAGAGGAAAACAAAAGCAATGAAAAGCTCAGACATAAAATAAATTTCCTCGGTCTTTTGTTTCGTTCCTTTCTTTTCTGTTTCGGGAGGTTATACAAGCTTAAGTAATAGTATGGCAACATTGGTTATGCACAACCAACTGGATGAAGAATGGCTTACAGGCATCTTATGATAAAGTGATGTTTGGGCGTTGTCCAGGTGAAAAAAATGGAGAATAAATAGCAAATTTGTAACAACACTGACAATGGCTATCAACGTACAGTAATAAATGCAAATAATCAACAAATTAATTAAAACTAGTGGCTGGGTGGTTGTTATAGATCAAAAAGGTTGATAAAAAAATATTCCAACCAAGTATTGATAGTTCAATTTTCTTTTGAAGAGGCAGTGTCAATAATATCTTGATTGGTTAAATAAAACATTGGTGAATTTATTCTCCAGAAGTCAGCTTTGTCCTCAACAAGACAGCAGTCATCAACTCATTTCAATCAAGCAAATGGTTCAAAAGGATGCAATTCTGTATAGCAAACCAGCAACGAACTATAGCTAATCCCCAATAACTAAAACACATGATAGATCTTTAACGGTCATGCAACAGTATTTGGCAGCGCGTAGATGGCCCAGGGAACAAACGAGACATATCTGATATGATCAAGGAATTCAGCCCATCGAGAATTGCCACATGGACTTATGAAAGGACCTCACTGATATGCAAGCTTTTTATATATGACCAATAAATAAATAGATAAATATAAGTAATTTTCTTCTTCCTGAAGCTGTAGATTCTTACATCCACCATTTTTCTATCATATAGAAATGAAGGGCCCTTTCTCGACATTGTTTGTTCTATTCCAGTCCAATTTCATTTTTTGGGGAGGAAAGAGGGTTTGATGATGGAATTCCTTCTTCACCCTGCGCCCCCCGCCCCCAAAAAATAAATAAATAAATAAAGAAGAAGAAGAAGTTCGTGACAGGACAAAGCTGCAGAAAATGGTAACAAAAGCCCCCCACCCCGTACTCCCAAAAATAAAAGAGGAAAAGAAAAAAGAAAATAAAAAATGATGATCTGATTGAGGAACCGCTCCAATAGACCAAGATGGAGATTGGGCAATTGAACAAGTATAATGTCAAAGCACAAGCCTCCACAAACAAGAGCCAAAAACATTAAGTAGAAGAATCAAGCAGTATGAGAAGAGCCACACATGAAAAGGTAGAAGGAATAAGGAATGATTGCAAAAAGAATAAAGAAAAGAACACTGAAAAGCAGGATACTTTATATAGCAAACTCCAATTTGATCTTGACCCAAATATTAGGCGTTAGGTTTTATTACCTGTCTTTTTTTTTGGTGGTGAACTAGTCTAATAAATAAAATTAAAACAAAGATGCTAATAGTTGAGAAACCGCATTGAATTAGGACTACTAGAGGATTAGGAGTTCATTATTATTTAAGAGTCGTGCAGTTTACTATTTTTTAGGAGTCTTAGTAATATTTATCATCATCGTTAGCAGTCCATCTTTTATTTAATTAAATTTCCACAAGAAGTCAAGAACTATGAGAGTTGCATGCAAGTGCAAGTCTTCCCGCTCACCACATTGCTGGTTTTTATCCTGGATTTTACACTAATATTCCTTTTCATATAGCAAGTTCAATGTGGAACAAATGGCATAACAAAACATATCTGTAGCATTACATAATAAAATGCAATTATTAACCACAAACATGTTTTTTCACCTTCCATCTGAATAGTCCTCTCAATATTTAGTAAATGTTTGCTTTTGATCTAAACATGGTGGTAGAAAAAAGTCAACTGGAAAAAAAAAGCAAACTAAACAATATTAGAAAGAACCATTGCACAAAACTGTAACCCCCTCATATTCACATCGAGTTCCTCAGGATGCTAAAGCAAAGATATGAGATGTTAACAACTTCAGAACAAAAGTAATGAACTATAATTCAACGTGAGGATGCTGCTGCTAATGGTCCATAGTTATTTATAGAGCAGCCAAGAGCTAACAAATCATAAATTGCAGGATTGCAAGCTACATGAAAACATAGCTCCAGAAGTTTGAGCCTAAGCAATATTTAAATCAAATTCCTCTTCAAATGCACTATCATCATAGCAATCACATAAGATAATCCCTCAACTTTCTATTCATATTTTGGAGAAGGCAGTGGATGTAGTATTGCAGTAGGTCTCGTCAATGCAGTGGATTCAGGCACCGCTTTGCTAAAGCACATCCTTCAGCCTCTCAAAATGATTTAACTTAGGGACGTGGCTCTATTTAGCTATAGGGTATAAAGGGCATAGCACAGTTAAAAGAAAATAGTGCGCATATGGTGGCTACATGAAATTGACAAGGTTATACATGTCTCAGAACTATAGCCCATAGCATGGAGCTTCAAGCTAATTATGTCTGAACTCCTATGACCCTAAAATGATAGTATACATCATACAATTTATCCACATAAGTTACAAAACATGCATGTACGCAAATGAAAATTACTAAAAGTGTACTTAGTTACAGAGGACAAATAATCTTCCAAGCAAGATCCCATGACAATCTATCTTTGGCACCAGATTTTGAGTTCAAACATTTATCATGGTAACTATTAATTTGTGGATCTACAAAAGCAGTACAGTGTGACAAGGAAATACCTGTAGAACATCCTGTTGAGGTGATGAAGACAAAACAGTAGAAAGAAGTTCAATGCTATTTCTTGCAACATTGAAAACCTCCTTTGTTTGCTCAGGTGTAAAACTCTGCCTAGGAATATCATGCTGAACATGTACTGGATGATCGACATGAACTTCTGAAGCAGTTACTGAACGAGGAGGAGTAAAAATAGGGGCCAAACTCTCATCATCACGACCTGGGAATCGAATACCTCTTGACTTCAAACTCTGGACCAGAAAAGTGGTAGTCAAGGAAAGTTTAACAAGAAGTTCTAAGATAATTAATTCTTCAGATAAAAATAAACTAAGGAATTTATCTATGAACTTTAAACTAAAACTCCAGAGAGTTGAGTTCCGATGCAAAAAAAATTCCAAAATAATCATTAGCATTTTGGCAAAAAGTTTTCCAAAATTTTCTTATTCAGTGAATTGGGATTGGCACCAATAATTAATAGCTCAACTCTCAAGATTTTTTCTTTAAATGGAAGCGTGAATTATTACCATTAGGTGTATTTTGCAGTCTCTTACCAAACAAAAGAAAGCAGTAAGATTTCAAATTAAATTGTCTCTGGCCTTCCAGCTTTTTCGTTTTATTTCCTTTAAAATTCTTCCTATAGCTATAACAATGAAAATAATTAGATTGGACAACATCAAAACTGTTAATATACCTTGTACGTCTCTTCATATACCGGCAAATAACGAAGCTCACTGGTTGACTCTCCCCATGCCTCAATGAGTGTTAGGGCCTTGTTCCGGTTATTCACAACAGTCTGAGGATCATCAATCAGCCTGACCATCTCATCAAGGACTCTCTCCGCTGCCACTTCTGAGAAGGCCCTCTCACAATTTTTAACGCATGTTTCAAGCAAAACCAATGCCAGGTACTGAACCTTAGGACTTTTAATTGCGATCCGTCTCTTGATTGAACGAATCAATTCCACACTGTTGACCTGCTCATGATTGATCGAATCGCAAAGCTCAAGATTCATAGCCCAATCGGGCTCATCAAGGGCCTCAGAGGTGGCATCCTCAACAAGCTTATCAGTCTCGCTTGGACCCTGAAAAAATTCCCTCATCTTGAAGCTCACAGAACTCATGCCTTCGCTCATCCTTCGACCCACCTCAGACCCACCAATTTTCAGGCGCTCCCCCAAGGCGCTGACTTTATCCATCAAATTGTCACTCATCTCTCCCCTGTTTCTCACACCCTTTTAAAATGTCACCCCCAACAACCCCACAAACAACCGTCCTCAAAACCTAGAAAATTCAACGGAGAGAAAATTGCAGCGATATATCATACTATGAATTAGTTACAACGAAACTATTTGGATCAAAACATACATGTAGAAAAGAGAAAAGAAAGTTCCATAATCGAAAAGGTAGATTCCAATCCAATTTGTATTGAACGTAGAAGAGTGAGAATTGAAACGCACCTTTAGAGATTGAGGTGAGTTTGGTTGAGTAGACTACGCGCAACAACTGCGCGAAAGCGTTGTCGGGTTCCTTGAATCCTCAGTCTGTTGCCATCGCAACTTTGAAAAATTATGTGTCACGACTGAGTACGGCAAGATTTTAAAGTTCATCGTTAATTATTATTGATAATGATAATTAATAGTTAATTATTTGAATGCGTTTGGTGGAAGAATATTCAATTATCTATATATTTAATTAAAGTTATATAATTATTGATTATTGGTATTGAGTATTGATGAAACGTTATTTTTGTGGATAAAAAAGAAATTATAAATAGAAAAAAATCATGAACTGTTGGAATTTTTTAAATTTTTTTTGGACAAGAAATCCAATATAAATGTAACAACTTCAATGCCAATCAATAATTAATAATCAATAATAAGTAATAAATCAACACAAGAATCACTCTAGTTGGCCAAAAAATACAATCATTACTCTAAAATGTACTCGCTCCATTCAAAAATTATAAGATATTTTTTTAAAAGTTGAATATTAAAAAATATAAAATATTTTTATTTTTTTGAGTGTAATTACTATTTTTTTGTAAGTATATTCATTAATGAATGACTTTATATTTATTGTAAAGTGTGTAATAAAGTAAATATAAAAGGATAAGATTAATTTAAAAATAAGTAATTGTTTATTGAGAGTAAGATTTGATTAAAAATACCTAATATTTTTTAATGAAAGGAATATAAAATTTATATCATTGACAAGAGTCCTCCTCACCTTGAACATTATAATATTGGTATAATTTATTAAATGAATTATATCTTTAATATACTCCCTTTATTTCTATTTGTAATAGAAACTATCACTTTTTATTTATTTTTTTATATAAGCAATATTAAATATTTTAATAAATGTTTATTACACATTTCTTAAATCACCCCTCATGATTTATATCAATGAGAAATAAATAATTAATACATGCTTATGTTGTTTAACATAAAGTATTTTAGTTTAATTTTTTTATTCTCAAACATAATTATTATGATTAACTAACTTTTTTAAATTATGTAATATAATTTTTTCTCTCTTATATATAAAAATGAAGGGAGTATTTTATGTTTAAATATTATATACTAAATATTTTTAATTCAAAAAATCAAATAACAAGGACATAAAATAGGTATGTGTTTACCAACCAGTGTTGGGTTTAGTAGAGAAAACTAATCTCTCTTAATATGATAAAAAAAATATTTAAATTCTACTAAAAAAAGTGCCTACATTTATTATCTCAAGCAGGATTGCCTCCAATAAAAATATATATGTGCTAAAAAAAAAGACATGTGCTTGACTATTTCTTTTTAGTTTTGAATTTATATATACTAATAATACAATTTTCCTCCCTGGAGAATGGTAAGGAACTTAGTTGAAACGTCGATTATTTTATTTTACTTCTCTTTTTTTTCTCTCTCTCTTCTTTAAATTTAAATTTAAACTAATTAGATCAAATTTTAATTTAATTTCTTGAATTAATATATTATTATTTCAACATTTTCATAATATATTATCCAATGAGGCTGTATGCTATGTTTTACAGTATTTCGAGATGGCTGGGAATTTAAGAAAAGAAGCTGTGTGTTAGAAATAGATTCAATCATTATCTTAAATTTAAATCAATATATATTAACAAATCTTTTAGAATAGCTTTGATTGGTTAACATTGATTTAGTTAACTTTAATATATTTTAAATTTGTTTTTTTATGTCATTGTTAATTTATCGTTACGGGAGCATCAAACTTTTCCTAGAAGCGAGTCTTTTCCTCTCCCTAGCAATGAGTCCGAAGAAGTCAAGATGCAAAAAGAAAAACGATCTTGTCATCGTTGACTAGGTCTGATTGTATTGATAAAAATGTCAGCCATCACTCAATTAGAGAAGAGAAGGGCCACAATCTTGAATTAATTTGGGAATCTCAGTGTCGTCGTCGTCGTCTTGCTAGTGATGATCAAGTCGACGGCGCCATCAACCTCGACAATGGACAGATAAAGGGAACTCCTCTTTCCACACTCCTTAACCCCCATTTTTTACCATCACAATACTATGCCTTGCAATTTTTTCTACTGCTTCTTAACCAACTTTCAATTCCCAATCATGATTTGTAGATCTGCTTAGGCAAGAGAATCTATGGAAGGAGTTCAATAAGATCAATAAAGAAGTCTCTAATCTTAAGCGTGTAAGCATTTTAGTTTCTATTTTCACTTCTATTTTTTGAAGTTCTGCTACGGGACTCTTCAAATTTAGTACCTAGGTTTTGCAGTCAGGAAACGACAAGCAATCAAAAGTTCCCATTTTGAAGTTCACATTGATTTTGTATGCCCTCATTTTTTTTGTTGAGTGTTAGATTTTCCTTAGTATCCAAAAAAAAAAAAAATAAAGTTCACACTGATTTGTTTTCCCTTACAGTTTCCGTTCGGTGTCACCTAAATTCATAAACCCATCTTCAGTCCTTCTTAATTTCCAAAACCCTCATCATGACCAAACCAATTTTATCTTTCGATCTGACTTTCGGTGATTTATCATCCGAGTTCACCCCAAACTGCCCAGACTCAGAAAATGTCTCTCTATGAGTAGTTCAAAGAGCAAATAATCAGCGAATACTGAGATTGGAAAAGCTAGACGATGCAAATCTCTCCCTCGAGTTCAAGTTCCAAACAACGACAAGGTATACCAGCCTTCCATTCATTTCTTACAGCACTGATTCATCATTTGTTTCAGCAATTTAAATCTTGAGTTGTTTATGAACTAATTTCCATGATGCTAAGTGAATACTGATGGTTATCCCTCAGATAGAGCTGAACACAGGGCTATGATAGAATAAACTTGGGCTTCATAGTAATTAATTATGAACTGAAGTTATTTTCCTCTTATTCCAAACCCCTAATAAATTACAATATGCTTCTTATTGCTTGCATCCATTTATAAAAGACCCTAAATGCAAAGAATACTTTGCATTCTTTCCTTCCAAACATAGTTATTCTTCTTTTTAATTCTTTCTCATTTGATTATGTACTTGAATTATCTGAGGCAAAGGTGGAATTTGATGAGTATGACTTTGTTTAAAACATCAATGACTTCATGGAGACATAGTGTATTGTCGTCAGAGTCTTGAGAAAATGGCATATAAACCAGAAAAATCCCCCTACCATGTTTGGAACATTTCATTCTTGCTCATTGATGAGAAGGTATGCATTTAAACAATTCTTCTGATTATGTTTTATTTCACTGTAAGAAAAAAAAAAGTAAATCCATGATGGATGACATGTTATTTTAATGTTCACAAGGTTCTTAAATTCAAGCTTTCATTTAAAGCAAAAATCTACTCCAACAATTTGAAGAACAACCAACCGAGGGAAGGGTTTACTTTATTAAGAACTTTGAAGTTCTCCCCAATACTGACAACACCAAGCATGCTGTCATCCTTGGAAAATCAATTTTCATGTAGATACATTTGTCAAGGAACATCAGGCAAATGTACCTTCAAATGTATTCAACTTTGTGTTAATCAAGGAGGTTATAAGTAGAGCAGATTTTGAAAAATAGGTCACAAATTTTAATCATTTGATTGGTATGCCATGATTTCATTTATTTTCTTTGAAAATGATACTTTTTCTTATCATAGTGTAATATGATAATTTCATCTGGGTAAACTAATTGTTGTGGTAATTCTAGATGTCATTGGATTTCTAAAATGTTTTGGAAGCATTCAGGAACACAAGTCCTTGAGTGTAAGATCCTCCTTACTAATTAATTCCAAAATTGAGGTAATTACAAGACTAACCTAGGTAAATTATCAAATTTATAAACTTTACATAAATGGGATTTCAAATTTTCAAAACTTAAAATATTATAAAATTATTTCATAAATTAAAATCAGAGCAAGACCTATATATTGAAGAATGATTATCATACAAGGTAAGATAATATTGGATCGGGGTTAAAAGATTAAAAAAGGATTCTGGCAAAATACACTGTGGCATAAAATTATTTATGTTGCAGCATAAAATGCCGAACTCATGCTGTCGTGACATATTTTTTTGGCAAGATTTATGATGTGCCTATTTCTTCATGTGACGTTCAATTGAGGTGATATAAAATTGGTTTTTACACATGGTCAATTGTATGTTACTTTATGTAGAGTTACATCGAAGAATGGCCTTAAGCTTCTTATTTATCATTATGAATTTACGCCATTGACATCTACAACAAATGTAGTTTACAAGAAAATTTTTCAAAATGTTGTATGAGGGAAAAAATAAGAGGTTCATATTAAAGTTGAATAAATGTATCCATATTATGTATTCTTTATAGAAATAATGCATTCATCAAAAATTAGACATTTTTCACCTTTACCTATAACTTACTATAAAATTAAGAAATAAAGATAAGATGTTAACAAATCAAATATCCAAGGAAAATGGTGTATAAAATAACACTTAAAAATATAACAAACTCACATCCATCCTTATTAATAATATCAATTATATTTTTTTTTTAAATTCCTCAATTCTAACCTGTGCAATGCACAGGAAACAGTCTAGTTTGGTGTTAAAGGGGGAAGGGTCGTACACTTTCTAATATGATTAAGTGGTTAGCCATATTGACGCTACTTTAAGAAAGAAGTTGCTTTGTGATTGTGAAGATTACCTGTATACATCTTAAAGGCAACAAACTTGATTAATTAGTTACTTAATCATCACTACATGATATGACAGTGGAGAATTAGGGATGAGGTTACTAAGCAATCCACTTAGTAGAAGTAGAAGTTAGTAGTATTTTTTTATTATAGTATTTTATTCTTGTTGTTTCTTGTTGATAATATAATTGGTATGCTATGATGCATAGATATTGATAGGAGTATCAGATATGATATGTATTCAATACATTGATAATTTAATTTTTAAAAAATATATAATATGATACATTTTTTATATGTATATATATTTACAAAAAATATTGAAAATACGATTTCAATTTTAAAAATATCCAAATTAGTATGCATATTCCTTTAAAATAATACCAAGTAAAATATAATTACTAATTATACTTTCATTCTATATATACATAATTGTCTACCACTTAGTCCCTACTAATAAGTATAGTATCAATATCTCCTCCTTCTCGACTATCATAAAATTACAATCCCACAAGTTTATAATTAAGAAAAATGTAATCTTTATTCTTTTATTACATCTAAAATTTATTTTTTAAGAAAAATTTAATCTTTGAGTTTAAAGACAAATCAAAAAATATATTAGTAATAGAAAGTCTAATATCACAATTTTTAATAAATTTAATTTTTTTAAAAAATTTCTGTTTTGAAGTATTGACTCATAATTTAGAAATATCATATATCTAGTAAAAATTAAATTTTTTTAAATTAAAAAGTTATTTTGATATTTTACCAATATTTATCAAAGAAGTATTGATGAATATAGGTATAAGATACGATACAGACATGGATACATGCAGTAATTTGAAACAGTGCTTCATAGTTGGTTTTTTTTTTTTTTTTGACTTTGTTAATCGTGAGGTTGCTTTAGAAAATTTTTTTCAATTAAAACTAAAACATGTATTAACTCACGGAGAGAATACAAACAACCAAGTTCAAAGCTTGCAGCCTTCTTTCATCATTCACATCCTTCTGAAAAAAAGTGGGGACAATCAAAAATACAAAAATTATCAACTAAATTATGGGAATGCTTAGCCAAGTTATCGGCAAAAAAATTATGATCACAGTACAAAGAATGTAAAGTAAGAAAGCAATTTTTTATATAAATTCTTCTAAAATTTAATTTAAATCAAGTAAAAAGTTATTTCAACCTTGGCTCTTATCCTGGCCAAAAAAAAAAAAAAACCTTGGTTCTTTTCGGAGGGTTGACTCTTCTCATCCATCATCATTGTGAAGAATTCTATCAGGCCTAGCTATAAAATATATATTTAATTAATAAAATAATAAATTTATAATCAACTTATCTTAGGAAAAATTTCATTAAACACCCAATCAAACTTATTTACAATCAAGCCTTAAAATTTTGAAACACCATTTCAGTCATTTGAGCGAAATTAAAATTCAGTTTTTAAGGAAAATAACACAAATAACTCCAATCCCTTACTTCAATTATTTATTTTTCTTATATCACTTGTTCATTTTTTTTATACTAGTTATTCAAGCACCTAGTTTCATTCTTTTATATTCATCGTGGTGTTATATTGTTAAACAGAGTTATAAATTTCATCTATATTTATTGTTCATTTTTTATATATCAATTGTTTATTCTCTTTACATGAATTTTTCATGCACTTAACTAGTAGTAATGTTATTTTTTTATATTATTTATTCATTTTTTATATATCAATTGTTTATTTTTCTTACGTCAGTTGTTTTTTATTTGAGGGTATTGTGATTATTTGTGTCTTTTTTTTTCCAAAAACTTAATTTTAATTTAGTCCAAATGGGGTCTATAGGGGTTGAATTAATGTTTCAAAATTTTAAGAGTTGACTGTAACTAAGTTTAGTCAAGGAGTTTAATAAAATATTTTCCTTATCTTACGTGTGAGTGATAGGAGTTTTTGTTCCTTAAGATATTAGTGAGATGTCAAATTACCATTTAAAAACAAAAAACTTGCTATTTGTTATCTCTCTCTTATTACCACTTGAATTAAAGTCAGTTAGTTACTTGCATAATGAAATCATGGCCTCCTTTGCATGCTTTCACCACTAGCTGCTAAGTTTTTTAAACATGAAACCTCAATGATCAAACTCCTAGCAAGTCGCCATCCTATGTGGCTTATTATCTTATATGTCAATAATTTAATATCTTTTCAATTGCCACACCTACTCTGGTTTGTTAATGGCTTTCCAAACACACTATCATCTCTTGGATTTAGGGAAACTAAGGAAAAAAGAACACCCTTTCCGTAATTTAACACACTATAAGATGCAATCCAATCTTTATTGAAATTACCTAGTTATACTTAAAAATAGAGAATTTTAAGAATGTAAATTGATCTAAGTTCCATACATCAAAGATATGTTGAGGCAAAATATTCATGTCTATTAATTTTAAATTTTTTTAGATGTTTTGGAACTAGATAAAATTATATGGAGAATATTCCACACATAGTTAATGGACTATTTCTTTCAATTTTTTTGTCAAGTCTAACAAAAAATAAAGAAAATAATGTCTAAGTCTCACATAATAAATTTATTATTAAAAAATTTCATAAAATTTATAAAATATTACTTTTAAATTTTAAATGTTATACATTTATAATTTAATTATGAGTATTGATAATTGAACAACTGCCATTTACCACTTCTTTAATCTCCAAGGATTTTGAGATTTGGGGACCTTGATTTAAAAATCTTTGAATTGGATGGACCCATTTCTAAATCCAGTAAAACAAAGGACTAGACGCTTATTTTTCTAACAAGAGAGAGGCGGGACTTGGGAGGAATGGTTCCATTTCTTAGTTTCGCGAAGGAATTCAGTTCTGATGGCCTTTTGACATTCAGATCGCTGTAACGAAGGAAGCGTTTTTTCTTTCCCTATTTTTTTTTAAAATTTTTTTAATTATTTTTTCTCCTTGGAGGTGCCTGAGAGCTTTCCATGATAAACCCTAACATTAACCACGTTAAACTCTTCCATCTTTGATCCTCCGATCCTTCTCTAGTTCTTAGGGGCGTGAGAAGAAGAAGAAGAAGGTGTTATTCAAATGGATTTCACATGGCTGAATGCACTTCTAGTTGGGGCAGGTTGTCTTGCTTTTGGGTACTTCATTGGCTCTGAGTATCCTCTTCGCCTCCTTATCTCAGCAGCGATAGCTAAAAGGAGTTCTATTGTGGAAGGGAAGAAGAAGAAGAAGAACCCCAAAGAACCGCTTGAGATTGAACATCTGGCTGACTTGCTTGATGATTTTAAAATGGTAATTAGTTTTTTTTTTTCTTCTTTCTCTTACAAATCCAGTATACTGATTTTCAGTGGGGAGCTTCGAAATGTGCCATTATTTTTCTGCAGGTACTGGTCGTGAGAAATGATCTTAAAATGGGTAAAGGGAAAATTGCTGCTCAGTGCAGGTATAATTTTAATTGTATACATTAATTATATATCTCTTAATATTTGACTTGTTATACAGCAATTGCCTTCTGGGTATCCTTAATTATATGTCTGATTCTTTTTATTTGTAGTCATGCAACGTTGGGTCTCTACAAAAAGCTTCTTCATCGAGCTCCAAAAGCTTTGAATAGGTACAGCCACAGGTCTTGATTTCACTCGTAGGTCATCCTTGATTGTGTCTCTTCATTATGAAGTTTTTCAACATGCAGGTGGGAGATGTGTGCCCAGCCCAAGGTGGTTGTCAAAATTGAAAGCGAGGAAGATATGCTGGTTTTGCAAGTGAGCATTGTTTAGAATTATTTGGTGCTATTTTGGCTAATTTCTTGTTTGATCTACTTAGTAGCAGGGTATTGGCATGTCTGCTCGCCTTGTTATACATTACTGAGTAGTTGATTATGATTATGACACACATAAGTAGCCTTACTTGGACATTTAATCTACTTTTAGATATAAAACTGAAAGAAGTTTTCTTTTCTAATTAATCATGTAAAATAGGTTGGGAGTTTAGCTCCTAGTTCACAAATGTACAAATGGGTAGATCAGCAAATAGGGAATAAAATAAGAGGACACAAATCATTAGACTCAGTAACCAGAAATGAATAAAGTTGATTTGGATGATTTGTGACTCTTTGAGAGGATTATGTGGTTTAAGGGCATAGAATTGGTAACGCAAATGCAGAGGTGAACGTTTAGATCAAGCAGATGACCTGAATCCACTGGATGGAGGTTGTAGAATTTACCTTGGAAACAAAGTGGCAAAGTAATACATGAAGTGTAAATATTGGTTTAAGAGACTTGACTGTGAAAACTAACAGAAACATGAGTTTAAGGAAATGTGTTTCTCTTCTTACTGCTGGCTTCAATTCTGCTCATGCATATGGTTAATAATTATTTGAAGGGCATGTCTTGATAAATGGTTATTAGAATCATATGGGGAGGATAAAATATGGTTGTTTGGGATTTTGAAAGTGACAGAAGGGGCCATTTAGCTAAAAAAAATGGCATATTGTGTTTGCAAAGAGAAAAAAGTGGGGGAGCTTATATCAGCAAATTTTCATTTCCTCAAACACCACGTATGACTGAACTTGACCTGGATTACGTTTTAGTATGCTATATTAATGTGAAATTTAATTGCTTTATCAGTATTGTTTTTCTTTCTTTCTTTCTTTTTTTTTTTGACAGGAAAGGGCAAAATCATTGAACGTGCCTACACATATCACAATTGATGCAGGGAGAACACAGATTGCACCAAGTGAGTTACAAGCACTTTGCATATGCTGATACTTAGTGTCCAGAATAATTGTCTGATTCTCATGCTTATAACGTGTATGCTTAAGCCACGTAAAGCTGGAATTTAAAGTGGAGATGCAGCTCAGCTAATTGTGGTCTTATAATTTCACTGCCACCCTAAAATTAAAGGATCAATCTATAGTTCTTGGTTTCTTAATGAGCAAGTTGTGAAATAAGCTTGAAGGATCTAATGCTGTAGAGATGACTGACAACTATATATTAACCATGAACTTGGGTCTCATTGCCCTTCCTCATTTTGATGAATGAGGTTGTAGGCATAGTAATATCATGGGAGAGAACTTTTTAGAAATCCTATTGGATAAAGTAAGCATCTTGAAGAGAAGTTATAACTGAATCATAGGGCTTATGTAGTTATTCTAAACTTCACATGACAACCTCTGGATCATGATGACCAGGAGAAGAGATACTTTTTCTACCTGTAGTAGTTACCAGTGGAATTGTTTGGGGAGCCTTAGCTGATTCTAGTATTAATGAAATCTTGTGCCTTTAACTGCTTTGTGAATGCATGTATCTTTTGGAGCAATAACTTTTTAAAATGCTAAAAGCTCAAGAGCTAAACCGCCTGAGATTAGCTTAAGTGACAAGAGTGGGGTAAGATATAAGTAGAGGTCAAGATGTAGACCCAAAAAAAGAAAACATAAGGAAAAACTTAAGGGTTAAAGCCATTTTTATTACATTTGGGAATTGGATTCACTTGATTTTGGTGGATAATTGAATGAATACTTCCACTATTTAGTGGGAGTGGAAAGGTGATGTTATTTTCGACACTGATAATTTGTTGGAGAAACTGCTCTGGTAGTTTCCACATCTTGTTTAATTGAATCTGTACGTGCTAGTATATGCTCTCTGCTATTGTTTACATCTATCTAATGCTTATCTTGTTTAACGTACCAATTGTTTTTCCTTTCTTCTAGATTCCAGAACAGTGATGGCAATTATGGGTAATTTATCTCTTTTCTAATGCACTTATTTTTGTCATAGAATATCGCCTTTTCCATTTTCACTTGGCCTTTTCCTTTTCCTTTTCAAATTCAATCTAAATTTATTGTGCAGGACCCGTGGAAGTGGTTGATGATGTGACTGGTGGACTGAAACTTCTCTAGTCCTCATTTCCTTTAAGATGGTCTCTTGTCTATGAAAACCAAAGTGTTCTTGGAGGAGAACAGAATTGATGCTTGTGGCTATATAGCCTCAGTCTCTCAACAAGCATTGCTGGTTTTCTCATAAAGATTTGCTGTGTTCTGCTAAAGATTCATGTTTAATCTTTAATTAACGGCCACCACGATAAAGACGATGACGAAAATTAGGTCGTCACTGAGGAAGGTACGGTAGTTTGGGGGTTATTGCTTTCTGGATTCTTGTCTATTTAATGTACAAGATGGTTAATGAAATTGTACTGTGTGCTCAATGTATGAACGAATCTAAGTTCATTTTTTTAATTTTTAATTGTGATTTTATAAATGAATCTTAATTACAATTAATGTTATTTTGAATTTTTTTCAAATAAATAGGTCTATTGTTTTTTTCTGTAAAGCCGTTCAAGAAACGAGTTAAGTACAATGGGCATTGGACTCATTATGCATATCAATCCATGAGAAGGAAATTTCAGTCCTTATCATGTGCATGGTAGGCAACTCAATTTGCACTAACTATTGGTTTATTTTGTTTTAATTAATAGTTTGATTAAAGTAGTCATTTCTTAACCTACAACCGTAGCGCAATTGGTAAAAAAATAAAAAAACCTTACAATAGTAGCTCATTGTGGTGCTATTAAAGCTTGACCGGATAGTCTAATTCAATCGGTTAAATTGAAAATCAATTCTAAATATGGTTTGGTCACCATAAAAAATTAAGAAATTTAAGAACCGGTTAAGAATTAGTTAAATCAGCCACGAAAAATTGATTGAACCAAATTTATTAATTTTTTATTTATATTTTTAAATTATAATTGATGCATTAAGAATACTTGAATCTGGCTATCATTTTCTCAATTAGTTTGAGATTTCATTTAGTTAAGGTAAGGGTTGAAGTTTACAATTAGCTTCATAATTAATTAGTCATTTGTTAATCACATTTAGTTTTAAGAGTTAATTTAACATCTTAGTTAATATATAAAACATAAAAGTGTTAATTTTTGGTGGTTACTAAAATGTTCTTAAAACCAATTGAAAGTAAGAGAAAATTAATTAGATAAAACAATAAAAAGAGAGGGAGTTCATGACTTCATGTGCCTAAGAAGAGCATCTTTTTGTATTTTTATCACACATTTCATTCTACTTTCATATTTGTCCAGTTTTTCAAAATCACGAAAAAAAGAAGTTTCCTTTGAATCTTGTTTGTTTTAATTCCAATCAATTCATCATTGTTCTTAGGTAGATTTACTCAATTAAGATTTTAATTTTTAATTAATTTTGTGAGAGATTCAACCTAAATTGCTTCCTATATATATTAAAATGTTTCTTAATTTAATTTGTCACATACGCCATTAATATACATCAAATTTTGGCAATTTTTTGCAACAAATATATTTTCTATTTCATTTTAACTAATAATCTAATCAAAATATCATTTTTCAATGCATAGTAGTCATGGATACTAAATTTTTCATTTTTTGTCAAAAATCAAAATATAAAAAAGGTCCTTAAAGAGTTTTTTTTTTTTTGGTTATTCTGCCAACAAATAAAGAAACCGTTAAATAGATTACCAAAAAACAAAAATCCGCTAAATTTGTACTATTTCAAAAATTTGAAAATCGATCGAATGAGCGAGTGCGTTGCGGCCGCAAACACTCAAACGCCCACACTCGAATTTTCAAATCCTCTCAACAGTCTATCGGAGAGAAAAATGGAACCTCGACACCTCAAGCTCATCATTCTTCAAGGCCCTCGAGAAGGCGAAACCCTAGGGTTCGAACCTGGCAAGGCAGTGCGGATCGGTCGCATTGTTCGCAACAACACTTTTTCCATCAAAGACGCCGGCATTTCCTCCAATCACCTCTCCATTTTGGTCGAATCCGCGAAATGGGTCCTCCGAGATCTCGATTCCTCCAATGGAACCTTCCTGAACGGCTCCAAAATCCCTCCCAACAGTCCGTTCGATCTTTGTCATGGAGATACCATCAAGATAGGAGAATTGACCTCTATCCAGGTAGATCTACAGGCTCGGGAAGGTAGCTGCTTGCGGCGAAACCCTAGGCGTCAGGCCGCCGCCAAGGCAAGTGGTACAGGACGTGAGAAATTGGAGCAGGAGGATGAGAAATCGGAGGGGAAGAGTTCGGAAACAGTGGTGGTTGAGCCGGTGGAGAAAAAAAGAGGTAGGCCGAGGAGAGGCCGGGGCTTGAAGGGTGAAATTGAGGAAGATTTTAGTAAGGTTCAGCTTCAGAGCATTGATGAAAATGTCGAGGTTGGTGACGAATTGAAGAATGTGGTTCCTCTACAAGAAAAAGTGGAAGCGCCCGTGAATAAGCGAGTAACCCGAACTTCGAAGAAGCAGCAGCAGCAACAGAATGTTATCGGAACTTCTAACTCTAGCGTAGTGACAAATACCCTAGACAATTCTGGTTTGGAGTGCACAGAAGAGAAGATTGTGGAAAAGAAAACAAGAAGAGTTGGTACTAGGAGGAGGAAGTTACAGGAAGAGCCATCTCTTTGTGATCAAGTTGACATCTCGGAAGATATGGTTCAAGAAGCGAGGGACACGGAGGCAAACCTGAATCCTGGTGGTAAAGAGGGTTTTGAAGAACATGAGAGCAAAAACTATTGTTGTAGTATCAAGGAGGCTTGTAGCAGCAAGAGGGAAGGCGAAGAAGCTTGTTCTTCTCAAGGGAAGAATTCTAATGAAAATGGGGATTGGCCTGATTTGGAGAAGTTAACTCTTGGTGAGTGGTTCCATTTCTTGGAGGTTCACTTGCCAAAACAGATAATTGACGCGACCGAAGAGATGATTGACTCCATGAAAGAAAAAGCTGAGAGAGTCCGTGATTACATGGTTAAGCAGAGGAATGACAAGGCTACATTACCTGTGGGATAAAAACATTTCGTGCTTTTGTGGTAGCTAAGCATTAGCTTAAGTAAGAAGCTTCTTCTGTGTTGAAGTTACATGTTTCTTTGTATATAATGCCTTAAATTGTCTCTTGTCTAATTTGACACTCATTGCAAACATTCAATTATCTGTTTATCTGTACTTGGCTAAATAGCTAGTGATCTCTTAGTTGAAATGGTTAGGTGTCTCGAAGGTTTCTGCCACTCTTAGATATGAATAATCTAAATGCTGTATTATGCTGATGATCTTATTAGGTAAAATTTAAGTAGCTCCTCTTCACCCTTTTCTCCACAGCTTTGAAAGGCAGTTTTTGGCAGTAGTGAGAAATCTTTATATGTATTATGCATCATCCAGCTGTCAAGAATATCATGTGGGCATTGGCAAAACTGTGAAGCTCTTAATGCAGATATACTCAAGCAAGTCAAGCTCCCGTTTAAATACCAGGACCTTGAAACTACATAAGCGTAAAAAGGGGGAAAAAGGTGAACTTTTTTAACCGATATGGTTGTCCGCGAACAGATAATCACATAAAAATTCCTTTTTCTTCTATTTTGGATTATGGGGATGCAAGTTGTGAATTGACACCATATCAAACTGCCTTAGTTCATTGGCTATGTTCCTCTGCCTTGAAATGTATTCGTTCAGTTGCTGCACATTGCATGGTGATTGGTGAACGAGTTGAGCAACCTGAAATAACATGATACATACTAGGCCTTGGGTTTCATATAACTGTCAACCGCTCAATTTAAACTGTAGATGCTCTTGGCTTTTTACCACATACAAGAATATGTTAGTTTTTGTAAAATGTTAATTTATGAGGAAATAAAAACATGCCTCCTTTGATCCCATTTACAAATTACTTTTAGTATATTTCATCAAAATTAAGAAAAAATTTAAATTTCACTAATTTTGTTTTGATGTTTAATAAATTTTCACTTCTAAGTTCTAATATATAATAAAGATAAAAAAGAAATAATTTTAATAATTTTTTAACATTTAATAAGAATAAAAAGATAAAAACAGATATAAAAAATAATAAAATATTTCATAAATAAGATTAAAATTAATCTTCTCTCTGTCATATAAATAAAACTTAGTAGTGAAATGATGCTATTGCATTTTTCCATCCATTTTTTCAAACCCTTTTGCCTTATTTAGTAAAGGCAAAGGAACGAAATTCTCACCCTTGAAATCTTTTGTTATGGTCATTACGTTTCGGTTATTATTACTCAATAATATTCTTTTTGTCGCATTTTAAAATAACTTTACAAAAATTGTTTATATATTCTCATCTACTTCTTTCATTCTATCCTGTATTTCATTGTGTACCGTCCGGTATGCTAAACAGATCCTATCAATCTATCAATTCCGATCACCATCTTTGATTAAAGTAGAAGTGTAGCATATCTTGCATAAAGAACACTCTTGTGCATCTACCTCTTTTTCCCCCCCGCCAGAGTGCACTTCCTGTCTTTATAGTTTTTATAAATAAAGGAGTGTATTTTAATTTTAAATATCAAAAGAAGACTTAGTTTAATCCATAGATAATTTATTTAAAAGAAAAAATACTGCAGGCATAGGATTAAATTTCACTGTGTGCTCACAAAATGGTCTGGGATGTACTGCTAATTGTATTACAACAAAGGGTTAAGATGCAAATCTACTTATAAAGAATTCTGCAAGGAGTTACTGGTATTTTAATTCAAGTATGATACAATTTTATTCACGAAGCCTTAAAAGTAGTGCAAAAATTCCCAATTTATAAGGGACCAAACGTTTGTTAAGAATTGTAGGTTTTACTTACTATGCTAAGTGCAAATTGCAAGTAGATTAGGAGCAAAGCTATCTATAATGTATTATATTATGCTGCGATTTTACCCAAAAAAAAATGGTGTAAAACTCTTGACACAAAACAAAGGCATATGTTGACATTGTCTGTGAATATCAAAATAATTGAAATTTTATTTTACCTGAAATGTAAAAAGAAAATATGTGCTCAAATTTATCCTAATTAGCACAAGCCTTAAGTATGATATTTTATTTCGTCGCATTTTACAACCAAGAGAGAGGGAAGACGGTTTGAATTAACTCGGGAAGAGAAGAGAGATGCAGGAGTATGGGTTTTGAATCAAGGGTGTTATGTAACTATGATGTTTGACAAAATAACATGTGCCTACGGCTAATTTCTACCGGTTAGAAAAATATTTGAACACATATTTTCATATTTACACTTTGAATCCAACAAAATATCAATATTTCTACAGTCAACATTTGATAACATGTACCTTTCTTTACTTGTGTATCGCTTTTAGAATTGATGGGCAAAATTAGTAAATTACACCATGATGTCTTACTTCCTGAATATTTTTGCCCATAACCCACTTACACTCGACATTGTAGGCAAGACTCACAACCCTTACCCAACAGATTTTTGGCTTTCATTACATATGAGGTATTATTGCAACTTTTTTTGTAGGATTCATGAGTAAAATTGAATCATACTGAAGTGTTTGATGCAAATACCTCATTGCAAAATTCATTAGGGATAAATTCGCATCTTAACTGTAAAACAAAATATAAGAACCTCTCAGCATCATGCATAAATTAAATTTTTTAATCCAGGTGATCTAAACTCTTCTATGTCATAGCTTATATAAAGTTTGAATTGATAAAAGTTTCTTAATCTACCCTAAACAGCACATTATAGACTAAAAGAAGGAAGAACAGAACAGACTAAAACACAGAACACAGGAGAAATAGAAGAATTGATACTTGAGAGGCCAAGATGAGGAAGGAGAGAACTCTGTCAAGTGCCAAGAAGCCTTTGAGCAAAGAGATCTGTAGTGAGGTCAACATCAGAAGTTACTGCAGAACAGCATACGGAATATGGGTAAAAAATCCCTCAATGAAAGTCCCTTTCCGCATGACAATGTCAATGTGGCACATGCCGCCGCTTACTATTTGAAATCAGAAATGCCACAGCTTGAGGAGCTGCACAATCAACAATGTCACTGTACTGTATGCCATGGCAGCACTAAAAAACATAATTCACATCATGAAATTTAAGGAACTCAGGTCATGCGCACTGCCAGATACATACAGAAAATTTTCACATCAAGAGATCATGATTGTGGCTCAAGCATTACAAATTTCCCTTGAACAAATCTTCATTATAAGATGCAACAAATAAGAATTCCAACTTATAGGACTCGTTATAATAGACAGCCCAACAATTTCCCATATGTGAAGCTTGTAAGCTGCCATTATGTCCATAAAACGGATAGCTGCAAGCCGCAGAAAGGGGTGGAAAAAATGAAGGAAATACAAAACGCAGGGAAAGCAGCTCCAGCCAATTCCACTTGAGAAAACAACATTTTGGCAAATAGATCAGCAAAATGCACACAAACAAGGCAGCAATTAGATTGCAGCAGCAAAATAATACAATGAGAACACGGATTCTTTCCTTCTTTATTTCGTGCACTTGTACATAAGTAGCTTAAATGGTATAGTTTAAATCCTTTTTTGTGGAATTTTTGAAAAAACAAATATCTCAAGCCCTTAAGGTGCTTTATATGGGTAAATCATGCCCTACGCTAAGTGTTCATAATGTACATGCCCTTTGTCCGTGATTCACAACCAACAGGAGATGAAAAATATCTGAAATTGATAAAGATTAGAAAAATTGTGGTTTGCTCATAAAAAGAAAACATAATCTCCACTGTTGCAAATGACTACCTTTTTCAAGGCTCATCGAAAAGGGATTACCGAAAACTGCAGCCACAATTCCAGGCTCGCCCCTTTTTTGCCTGAATTCCAGGCTAACTTCAAGTGTCAACCACCATTTCAGAAGGGCTTTCTAACTTTCAACCACATCTCTACAATAAAGAGATTCTATATGACCCAGCTTGGCTTCATTCCTCTCATTATCATGTCATCACGCAACTCAAGTGCCTTGTTGAGATGTCCATTAACACAACAACCATATATCAGAAAGTTATATGCCATCCTATCAGGCTTTAGACCTTTATTTAGCATGGCATCCCATAACTTAACTGCTTCTCCTATATCACCCCTTCTGCAATACTCATAAATAAATGTTGAATAGGTAACACAGTCTGGGAAAACACCATTTTTAGACATTTCAGAAAGAATCTTGGTGGCTTCTGAAAATTTACCCAATTTACAGAAGCCACGGATAAGAATATTATATGTCACAGTGTTTGCCAAAAGGCCCTTAAGCATTGCATTGTGAAGCCCTACTGCTTCCTTCATGTATCCCTCCTTTGTGAGATGATCAAGAAAACAACCGTATGTAACTGAATTTGGAAGCACATTGGCACCCAACATTTTTTTAAAAATAAGTGCCGCTCTGTCCATTTCCCCTGCCTTGCATAAGCCATTAATCAAAGCAGTATAAGTCACAGCATTTGGAAAGCATTCCTCAGCAATCATCAATTTCCAACATTCAAAAGCCTTCTCAAAAGATCCTGCTTTGCTGTAAGTGTCAATTATACTTGTATACATTATGCCATCAGGCTTCAATCCTTGATCATGCATTTTCTTTAAGAGATCAAATAATGTTTTCATGTCTTGCTGCTTCAGAGAAGTATCAACAAGTACACCATAGCAAACCATATCCATGTTGATTCCTCTCTTGATCATTTCCTGTGACGCACTCAATGCCTCCATCAACCTTCCTTCTTGGCAATAACCCTGTAGAAGAGCACCATAGCACATTTCATTTAACTTCAGGCCCTTCTTGTGGAGACTATCAATGAAATCTTTGGCTTCAGAAACCCTATGAGCAGAACAAAGGCCATGAACAAGAGGCCTGTAAGTATATGTGTCTGGTACAAGGCCCCTTTGAAGCATCTCTTCTAGCAATTCAAAGGCCCTATCAATGTTACCTCCTCTACAGTACCCTTCAATCATTACATTGTATGTCACCTCATTCGGAAGCACCTTCCGTTCTATCATTTCAACAAAAAGTTGGCTTGCTTCAAACATTTTATCAGCACTACAGAGCCCAGAAATAAGTGCAGTGAAAGTGTAAACATTAGGAGCAATTCCTTTCTTAATCATCTCATTATATATTTTAAATGCCTTTTGTAGTTGTTGATCCTTGCAATATCCACTAATCAATGGTGTAAAGGTTGTGACAGTTGGCTCCAACCCTTTATTGATCATCTCAGCGAACAGAGACTCAGCAACACTCAAATTCCCATAATTGCATTGGCCATTTATCAAAGAATTGTAGGGATATACTGTTACTTTTATACCAGATTCTATCATTTTATCAAAATAAGACATAGCAACATCCAATCTTCCCCTTCTGCAAAATGAATCAATAAGAATAGAGTATGTGATATCATTGGGATGCAAGTTCATCAAGAACATCCTATGATACAGTGATTCTGCCTTATCTAAATCTCCATCTTTACACAAAGAATTGATAAGTGAATTATAAACAAACAAATTTGGTAGCGAACCAAGTCTTCCTACCTTTATTACAACATTATAAGCAGCATGAATCTTTCCTTGCTTTCTTAGACCCTCCACTATTCCTGATATAGCTGCCTCAGTAGGAACAAAACCAGATTCAATCATTTCATCCATAAAAATCACTCCAGCCTCAAATTCTTTCACTCTACGCAGACCAAGTATTAGTGTACAGTACGTAACCACATCTGCTTTGAGACCCTTTTCGCTCAATGATCTTTTGACATCAACAGCATCCCAAACACGTTCACTCTTGCATAGGCCATGAATTAATACATTATAAAGTACAATACTTGGACTTAACCAATTTGATTCCATCCGCATAATATTTTCCTTGGCTCTAGCAAAATCTCTCAATTCACACAGACTCCGGATAACAGCAGTGCAAGTATAAATATCAGGTTCAAAACCAGCATTCACAGATTCGTTAAATAGCTCCCAAACCAGTATAAATTTTCTAATCTTCAAAAGTTCGTTTAAAAGGGCACTGAATGTTCTACCTTCAGGCAACAAGCCGCTCACTATCATGAGATTTACAATCTTCACCGCATCAACAGCTTTCCTACTTTGTAGATAATTTTGAACCAATAAATCAAAACCCGAAATGGACGAAAAATTGCCATTCTTGTAAGAATCCAAAAAATTAGCAAAAACCTCTTTTGGTTCTAACTGTCGTTGGGAGAGGGTCTGCAACAGCGAATTAGCAGGCCAGAAAAGCCTCGCCTGCACAAGAGCATGAACCAAAATAGAAAACGAGGCCGGGGAATGTTTGAAATTTTTGTGCAAACCCAAAAAATTGAAGAACCTCAAAGCTAACTTGGGGTCATCAATGGTCTGTATCAAGACTTCTTCAACATGATGAGGTCTCAATTTGCTTGAAATCAAGAAATCACTGAAAGCCACTTTCCAACTCTGTTTCCCTCGAACGATCTCCGAAAGCTTAGAGACAAAATGAGAGTCATCATTCTCATCATCATTGCGGGTCTTGGACAAGGATGATTTACAGAAGCTCTGATTTCTCAGAAGAAAAGGATTAGATAGGGTTCTACGAGTAAGCATAAGCTTCATTAAGATTATAGCGCTAGAATGTCTGGGCTTTCAAGCCATCTGAGATTATATACCAAATCCCTAAATCATGGACATAAGAGGACTCTTCGTTCAACGATAGGAGGCGCCGCAAAGCAACAAAACACACCAACAGAGAAAAGCGAGGAACGGCAAGCCTCTGACGCTGACCGTGGAGGCAAGATCAGCTAAAAACTTCAACTTCAATTCAGAAGGAGGCGACAATGGCTGAAATATGAGCGTTTGGCATCAGAAGCAAAGCCTTCAAATAATCAAATCCACTTAAGCTCGAGGTTTTTCCGGCCCCAGATGATGAATCTGAAACCCTTGTTCGATGGCAAGAGGGTGCGTTTGGAAACTGAACATTTCACATCCCAAGAGTGCTTTTTAACTTTTGGAACGTTAAGATGAAATGCGCTTTGTAAGAGAACTTTCAAAATGGCATGAAAATAATGAGAAGCTCTTTTTGTAACTTTTTAAATATAAATGTGATATGTGAGCATTAAATAACTGGTGCCTAATATTACAATTGAGCATGATATTCTCATTATTTTTTCTTTCTTCTCGTGCAATTGTGGCTCTGGCTCTCTCATTTTGTTGCTCCTCATCTTACCTGTCCATCGCTCTCTTGTCGCTTCGCTATCTCTCCTCCGCCATCTAATTACAGATCCCGAGTCCCTCTATTTCTTCCTTCCCCAAACTCTTCATCTCTTCTTTCGTCGCCGGTTGTTGCCATTCCAATGCCTCATTTCTTCATGTCCACCTTGAATCTTTCACGGATCGAGCTCATTTTCAAATTTGGATGACATTGCGAAGCTGAAGGAACTCAAGAGACCTGAGTTTGCAACCTATCTAGTGCAAAACTAAACTTTCAAACCAGCTTATTGAACTTCGACCTCCTTCTCTGATCTGCTCTTCGATCTACAAAGTATAATAGCCTCTAACCGTTTTTTGTTAGATTTGGAAATGGTAGTCCTCTGTTTTGCATTAATAGATAAAAATGAAGCATAATGTTAAGGAGTTTTATGTGTATTTGTGAAGCTTAAGTAGTGGTGACAATCTTCTTCGCAGACCCAGTATTTTTTTTTTTTTTGCCTTCTTTTGATTGTCATTGTTCTTTCGATTTTAAAGGCCTTCTACATAGACTCAGTAAATTTTTTTGCCTTCTTTTTATTGTCATTAGGCTTGAATAGATATGTTATTTTTCGAATATAATAGAAATCTTTATTCTGTGAGATATTTGATTGTTGCTTATTATAATAATGGTGGGTTTAATTTTGATTCTTCTCCTCTATTTAGTTTTCATTTTGAGCTGTGTAGTATTTGATATAACCAGATATTGCTATTCTTCTTATATCTTAAGGTCTTGTGTTTTAGACATTACAAGTAGTTTGCCCATTTTTCAATTTTGATTTGTCCCTTTATTACCTTGTAAACATCTCTGTATGCGGAATTGACTATGAAACAAGAAGTAAAGTGAACGAATATTTATTAGCCATTCTTTCTTTTCATTTTGTGGTAAACCTGTTTAGCCATCCTAATGTAGCTTTTGTTTTGCCAAGCTTGTTACATTTGGTTGATACAACAATATAGTTGGCCCAGACTAATTTCATCCCAAGCCTCTCATTTTGTTATTTGCCCTTTCATTTGATAACATTTCAACAACAGTTGAGTGGTAAATCTTTAGTCATGCTTCCCTAATGTCTATTCAAGTTTTGTTTTTCAACATTTTTCTTTGCCAATTTTTTCCCCTTGCATTTTAATCACAACTTTGAACTATTAGCATGGTTCTTTTTGAATTTAGGGTACTACACTTGATTTGCTTCTATCAAAGTCAAATAACATCTTGCATGGGAGGCTTGCTTCTCAATCCACAAATTTTGGCTTATGATAGATATAATCCTATGATTGTATAACAAAGAAATTATAACATGTTCTATTCTTAAAGTTGAATCAAATTTAATACTACCTTTAGACTTATTTTAACAAAATAGAATCTGATTTTTTCACCTCACTTATGTAGAAGTACAACAAAAGGACGGGGGAAATCCATTAATTAAATTTTGACCATGCCTTCCCTACTCTTTCAATTTGATTTATTATAGTGTGAATGGATTGTCATCTCTTTTTGACAATATACAAGGAAATGTCTTCCATGAAAAAAAATGGGACACAGTGTAATATTTTAACTCTTTCAACTTGATTATTGAGAATATGATATTTTGATAGTAAAAATGAGTAAAAAGAAGGCACAATGGACTATCAAAGAGACTAAATTGTTCATCAAATTAGCTCTCCAGCAAGTTAGAAAAAATGAGCATAAAGGCTTTACCTTATCAAATGAGGGTTGGAAGGCGCTAATGTAACAATTCAATGCATTAAGCTCAAGAAGCTATGATAAGAAGCAATTGAAAAAACAAATGGGACAATTTAAGGAAAGACTAGAATATATGGGACCAATTGTTGAACAAAGAGATCGATTTGGGATGGAATAGCGAAAAGAATACTATATTAGCACCAGAGGAGTGGTGGAATCAAAAGATTAAGGTATACAATTATATATGGTATGCTATATATTTGATGTTTTATTTTATAAATATACTGGACTTAATTCTTGTAAATGTGTAGGAGAATCCTAAGTACAAAAAATTCAAACATAAACCACTTTCATGTGTACAAGAATTGACACAGTTGTTTTAACCAGTTATAGCATAGGGCACTTACATGTGGACATTTGTAATTGATGATCTGCAAGATGTGTATAGGCATAAATTAGATTTGATCAGAGGATTAAGAGATAGTGATGACGTAAGAAACATTAGTAGATGAGTTCTCCCAGAAATTGGGCAGGTTAACTTAAATAATACATACAGCAGTGGTACTAATTCAGGGAGCAAGCAAAAGAGAGGTGAAAATAGTCAAAACAAGAAGGGAAAACATCTTGCATCTGTGATGGCTAATTCAGCGAGTCGCTTATTTTCCATAAGGTTACAAGAGGATAAGGTTACAACACTGAAGTCAATTCTTAATTCAATGAAGGGTGGAACAAAACTAGTTGATCAAAATGCGGTGGATGTTACAAAAAAACTTTATGGAATCAAGGAGATTGCTTATGATGAGGCGCTTCTTAGAAAATGTGATATGGCCTTGCTAGATAAGACCGCAAGGGACATGTATATTGGGCTTAGGGATAATAGAAGAACATTAGTGGCCTATTTAAAGTGTTTAGAAAAGAAAGTAAATTAGATCAATTCTAGCTTGCCTTCTCAATGTTTTAAATCTAGTTAGTGCCGTTTAAGTTAACTTTGTTTTTAAATTGATTGTGTTATTTAACTCTTGTTTTATGTGTCTTTTATTTTAAGTTATGAACAATGGTGTAATGGTTGTTAAATTATGTTTTTGCAGTTTTTATGGATGAAAGTATGCAGTCTCAGTTATTACAATTACTTGTACATATGAAAGACGATAAGGTTGAGGCTATTACTATAATAGTATCTAATTACTCAACAACTTTATTGAAAAAGCCTTGTAGAACCAGTTCATAATCAGCTCATGCATGGGTGCAAGAAATTTTACAAGGGTATCCTCAGTATTGTTATGACATATTTCGCATGAAAAAAGATGTTTGTCTTCAAATTTATGATGAATTAGTGCAACATGGTCTATGTCCAACCAGAAGAATAGGGATTTATGAAATCATCGATATGTTCCTAAATATTGTTGGACATAGGGTGGGGGACTAGGATGGCATATGAACGATTTCAACATTCAGCAGAGATTATTTACAAGCATTTTAGAAATGTATTGCATACTTGTTAGAAGCTAGCAAAAGAATATATACAATCAAAAGATCACACTTTTCAAGTTATACATAAAAAAATTTTAGGTGATCCGCAATATTGGCCAATTTTTAAAGATGTCATAGAAGCAATTAATGGAACACATATCCTGTGTGTGGTCAATGTTGAAGAGTAAGGAAAATATATTGAAAGGAAAGGTATTTCAATACAAAATATAATGGCCATATGTGATTGAAATATGTGATTCACTTATGTCATGGTTGGATGGGAAGGGACTACCCATAATGCTCGTTTGTTTGACTATGCACTCATAAGGCTGGACATGAAATTTCCACATCCACCCAAGGTATATTTCATATTTATCTAATTTAAAATAATTTTTTAATATTTTTTAGGATCTTTAATTTTTATTTTTTATTAGTAGGTAAATATTATTTATTAGATGTCAATTATCTAACATCACGTGGATATTTAGGTTCTTATGGATCTCATAGGTATTACCACCTAGATTTCAGGCGTTCATCTAAATTTGTAAATAATAATGAGGTTTTCAATTATTATCATTTAAGTTTAAGGATTACGATTGAAAGGACTTTTGAGGTTTGGAAAAATAAATTTGCAATCTTACGACACATGCCTAGTTATCCATTTGTAATGCAAGTTCATATGATTAATGCAACAATGGCCATACATAATTTTATTAGAAGAAAATCTATAATTGATTCTGACTTTTGGTGTTTTAAGGATGAAAATATGGTTAACACTAATGATGATAATGACTAGCATGTATTTTCATTAATAATTTCAAGTGCAATTTCAAGCGTAGCTTCTAATATAAAGATGAACAAAATTTAGGATTCTATTAAAGATTATGTTGTATATTATAGATTGAACCATTAATCATGTAACTATTCAATATTAATAGATGTTTAACTATTTATTATATAATTTTTTTAATATTAAATTATATATTTTTTTACTCTTAGTATTTAACATTTTAAATTTTATGTAATTTTAAATTTGTTTCACATTTTTTAAATATTTCTAATATACTATATTTGTATAATAAAAATTATAAATTATCATAAATCAATGTTCCTTTTAGTCATTATATATTAAAAAGTACATTTCAAAAATATAAATTTCTATTAATTCAAACAACTTTCAATTTGTCAAATTAACTTTTAAAAAATATATCTAAATATAAATTTTATTATAATAACTGACTTTTACTGAATAAATTTTTAATAAATTAATTTTTAATAAATTAAAAACTAAACACACACTTCGTTTATTGCCGTATTGCATCCCTGTAGGGTGTAGTTTTGTAAAGTGGAAGATTCAATTGGTAGATATCAAAAATAAAAATATTAAATTAATCAAAATAAGTTGGGAAAATACAATAATATCCTTTTATAGTTTTAAGGGTTTTGTTTTATTTATTTTTTTAGTACTTTCAATTTTTATAATTTAACTAATGTTTATTATTCAGGTTTTTATAGTCACAATAAATGATTGAAAACACTTTAAAAATTATAAAAATTAAAAACAAAATTTAATAAAATCATAATTCATTGACTGTGTTTTTTCAAAATAAGTTCACTAAAATTCTCTACCTTGTTCCTCAAATTCATGTCTAGAATTGTTTTCATTTTAATTAATTAATTTTTAATAAAAAGGAACATTTTAATGGCTTTAGTTATGATTAATTTAACTTAATGAAAAAAGATTAATTTAACTTAATTTATGTATTTTTAATAAGCTTAATTTATCTATTTTAAATATGTATAATCTATGCATTTAACGCTAGGTTTTTTTTAAAAAAAATTTATGAATTATCAAAATTAGACTTAATGAAAGAAGTTAATCAATTATAACTTGATAAATCAATATTTATATTCTCACCAGAATAAGTGCTCATATTTAATAATTAATTGTATTTTAGAGATTTGAATTTAATAATATAAAGATTGAGTGTTTGTATAATTTAAATCATTAAAATTTAAATTAATAATTTGAATTCATTATTTAATTGAGATTAATAAATAATTAAATTTATTTAAATAATTGATATGAATTTTAATGACTTAAATGATAAATGATGTGAGTGTATTGAATCCAAATTTTATTTTTAATAAGAAATACCTATAAATAATAAAAAATAGATTTACGAACTTCAAAATTAAATCAAGAGTTTGGATACCTTCATAGCTATTATGGTTTCAAAAGTTATATTTTTAAAAAATCGACTCAAATACCTCATCTTTTTAAGAAATTAAATTATTTGAAGCTTTATTTTTATCCGGGTAGATGACAATTATCAATAACTTCCTATAAGAAAATGCACGCTCCCCCGGCTCGCTTGAACGTTTATCGGTGTTCTCTTCTCATCTCCGCCGAGTTTCCTCGTGTCAAGCCCTAGTCATCGCTTCCGGAAGAGAACAGCTTCTTAATCCTTCTTCTAATTATCAGGTACCCAATTCCTCGCCTTCTAGCGTTCTAATTTTTCATCGCTATCTGTTAAAACCCGTGTATTGGAACCCATTTCAGTTCCCACCATGAAGCTCTCTTTCTCTGTGCAATCAAAATCCAACTCCAAGTCAAACCCCATCAAGCCCTCCAACAAATTCGACGCGGCCGCCGCCGATATTCAAGATGGGAACTCCAAGGCCAGAGAGTATGTTACAGAGTTCGATGCATCGAAAGCCCCTTCTGATCCTAACAAATCTACCAACATGGTTATTCCCCCTATAGAGAACGAATGGAATATAGAGAGGTCCCACAAGAGAATGAAGAATCTAGACTTACCCATCACTGAATCTAATGGAACCGAGTTGGGGTTTGAGCTGGATACGTCGGCAGTTGTGGAACCCGGTGCGGACATGTCTTATGGTTTGAATCTTAGGCTGACGAAGAATGATGGAGACGGGGGAAAACCTGCCGATGGCAGTGGCGGTGACGGTGATCATGACGGAAGGTCGCGACCCGTTTCTCTGGACTCTGTGGTGCTGCAGAAATTTAAGGACGATATGAAGAGGTTACCGGACCATAGAGGCTTCGAGGAGTTCAAAGATGTCCCTGTTGAGGGTTTTGGTGCAGCTTTGCTTGCGGGGTATGGATGGCGTGAAGGAATGGGAATCGGAAAGAATGCGAAGGAGGATGTGAAAGTTGTACAGTATGAGAGGAGGACTGCCAAAGAAGGGTTGGGTTTTGTTGCTGATCATGCTCGTAAGTGGAGTTCGAAAGATGAAGTGAAGATGCCTAAGGAGCATGGTGGACATGAAATGAAGGTGCCTAAGGAGCATGGTAGACATAGTTCCTTCTTGGGAAAGGTTGTTAGAATAGTTGAGGGCAGAAATGCAGGTCTGAAGGGTAAAATTGTACGAGAGGTTGAAGATAAATGGGTTATTTTAAAACTTTCCAAGAGTGAAGAGGAAGTAAAAGTGAGCCTCGGCGATTTTGTAGAGTTGGGTTCTATTGAAGAAGAGAGGTTTTTGAAGAAATTGAAGGAGTTAAAGATTCAAGATGCTGATAAAGATAGAGATCGAGATTCAAGGAATAAACGCGGTAGAGATGAAGGAAGGAGAGGCCGTGATGAGGTTGCAGTTGATGTTAAAAGAGATAGTAGGAAGGAAGGGCAGGGGAAGAAACAAGTTTCGTGGCTTACAAGTCATATTCGTGTCAGGGTTATTAGCAAAGATTTCAAAGGAGGGCGATTATATTTGAAGAAGGGGCAGGTATTGGACGTTGTTGGGCCTGCTACTTGTGATATATCTATGGATGATGGCAAGGAAATCATCCAGGGGATTTCCCAAGACGTTCTTGAGACTGCTATCCCTCGCCGAGGGGGGCCAGTTCTTGTATTATATGGTAAACATAAAGGCGTTTATGGGAGTCTGGTTGAGAAAGATTCGGACAAAGAAATTGCTGTTGTTAGAGATGCCGATACCCATGCACTGATCAATGTGCGGCTTGAACAAATTGCAGAGTTTACAGGGGATCCAAGTATCCTGGGATACTGATTCTGTTGCATCAATTCCAGTGCTGGACCTATTTTTATGACCCTTTTGATTGATTTTCCAAAGTAACATTCATAGTTCAGAATTTGATATGCGGTTTTTTACAAACCAGGGGAGAAAAAATTATGAAGGTATGTTTGTAGTGTATTCCTAATGCCATATTTTTTAGTCAATTCAAGGGTGAAATATCAACTTGTTTGGTAACTTTGTAGTTTATGGATGATGAAAATAATGATCTCTTGCTGATTATATCTTGAAATTTGAATAGTGTTTAGTGATATCATAAATATAACACTTGGTTTTGCAGCAAGAATTTAATATTGTGTTTCAGAGCTCGACGTTCAGAAAACCATATATGCTTTTAAATATTTTATGTTTATTGTTGAGAGATAATAGTATAATTTTAACTTATTTGCGTGTTCCATTTGTGTTGGGTGCAAGGTTGCTAGGAGCAGAATACATTCATAAAATGTAATGTTGTTTTAGTTAACCCTGCACATCAATGTAAGTTCTAAATTCAGCATCAGACATGAATGATTTAGGCTGTGGATCATGTTTCATTTCCTTACAAATTTTGTATCTTCTAATGTTGTTTATGCATATTGTGGGGGTGGTATTTTTGCTATTGCCCCTTGGTATTGAACTATTGATCGTTTTGAATGATTCAAATTTCCAATCCTTGATTTTGTGATAGTTAGTACAATTAAAACTTACTGAATTTGAATGCATATTAATAGTTAGTATGGTTGAGAGTTTAACCCCATTATAGAGGAACCATCAAGTTGTAGCTTTGGTTTTAAAGCTTATAAATTTTGAGATATTATTCTATACGATTACAAATGTTTCTCCACTTAAATATTTGAGTTGGTTGATTTATACAAGGGGCATGTTCTTGTACTTATGGGCACAAATACCTTTTGACAAGCTAACTATGTTTTAGTTGGTAATTAAGATAGGAGAATGTGATGTTACACCTTACTAAAGGCTGGAAAATTCTGTTTTCTTATGAAAAAGATTATATACTATTTGAGAGATAGTTTTGTGCTGCAAAGTCTTCAAAAGCCTAGGAGAGAAGAGTATCATAATCAAGCTACTCCAAAGTCAGGAACTAAGGATCAGCTACTTTGTAAAATTTGGATGAAACTCGGTTCTCTAACTGCATTTTTAACTTCTGTAATAATGGTGGAAATTTCCAAAGAGCATGTTTGGATGAGAGATAATGGAACAAAAATGAAAGGACAGTTTCATTATTTTGAGGATGTTGGAGGAGAGAGTTTCCTCATGATTTCTGGTGATATTGGAGAAGTTTTGCAAATCAGTGTAAATGGAAAGTGTCACCTAACTGATTCTTGCCATTCCTTCCTTCTCATCAGATTCGAGACCTTCGTTCTCTCCCAACTCCGATAAAGAAAAATTTGGTGATTGGACATATTCTTCAATTTTGAAATATGAATCATGTTTGTAGTGTTCTCGCTTATCTATTTTACTTTTTGTTTTATAACATAACTAATGTAGGTGTTGTGCAGTTTAGAAAGCTTGGTAAATCAGTCATTTATTATTCAAAACTTCCCAATACTGTCAGTTTTTATATCATATAATTTTTTTTTCAATCAAATTCAATCCCCTGCTTATTTCTTCTGGGGAGAACCAGCACTTCAGAGTTATTTTACCTGGATCACTTTAGTAGTTATACATTGTTAGGTGTTTACGAAGACATCCTCTGCTGACTGTGGTGTAATTGTTTGGATTTGGTTTTTAGATGTAACTCCAGCATCATCATGTTGGTCTGGTTATTCAACCCTTTATTGTTGGCGATGTGATCCTGTAGGTGGGCAATGCAGCCATCCAAAATTGTGCAAGAGTAGATGGAGGAATAGCATGAAGCTTAGTAGTTGAAAATTGTAAATATTATACGCCCAAGTGGAGTCTCCAGGCAGTCAATTGAAGAAGTGACTTCTCTGGGTGGATGATGATGATGGAAGCAATACTAAACTATTTGATTGGTGGAAAGATGATTTGCTCGTCCAGGGTGAAATTTGTAGTTTTGTGGGGATAGATTTTACACAAGTCTCTTCTCATGCATGAACTATTATTGGCTCAACATTAGAGTGCTTAGTCCTCTAGGTCAAAAATCTTCCACGGGGTGGATTTTGTTCAGCCTAGGGCCGGTTATTCTGGTTGGCCAAACTTAGTCGGATTAGTTTAAAATACTTGAACATATAAAAAAGTTCATATAGTCAATATTAGTCTTATCTTGAGCTCTCGAGTTTATTTGGGCTATTTCAGTACTTGAATTGTTAAATATTATTTTATTTTTATTTTTATTTTTATTGAATTTCAATTCTTATTTTTTAAAAATTAATGTTTTCAATTTTTATCTTAATTTAAAGTTACTTTATTAATAATAAAAAAGGAAATTTAGGGATCCGGGATTCCACGCAGAGTCCATTTGAGTTTGGACTTGATTGAATTTTTTTAGGTTTATTTGTGTGGCTTGTATAAGTTGCAGTAAAGAAAATTTTTAATATTTTCAAGTTTGATTTTAAGATTTTTTACGTTGGTTCGTCAGGTTTAGTTTAAATTATTGTTTCTAGTTCAACCTCAAGCTTAATTTAGTATGCAAGCAGTTTTGTTTTCCCTTTTCACTCTAGTATCTTTGGTCTTTGACTTAGAATAATTAATCTAATGGGCAATGTGTGGGCTCTTCTTTGAAGAGCATACTTCATATTGACAATTTAATCATATATTTAAGACTTGAGTTAGAGACTTAGGTAGGTTGGACTAACTTACTAGCTAATTGATCCAGTAGTTGAGGTATATAAATAGTGTTTGAAGCACATGCATATCCCTCGTGGGACTGACTTGTGATGAAAGCTCATGAAGTAAAGCCCACTACATCATTCCTTATATAATTAGAGGTTGATTAAAAGAATGATGAATGAATGTAAAATACTATAGGTACCAGCTGCTCAAACAAGATAGACTTATGGATGTTATAAGAGTTAATCAAAGCTAAAAGTGTGGAATTAGATAATAACTAATGCCATTTATTTATAATTGATATCATATCTACTTACGAGGAAATTTTGAATTCATACTATTAATCTTATCAAATTATCAGATATGGGAATTTTAATTGGCCAGGTTTAAGATGCCTTTTTATTATTTATTAATTACCTTATGTCGACAATTCAAAATAGCTTAATATATTGATTGATATTATTAACTTATCTTACTCAAATTATAATACTTAAAAATTTTTAAATAATTTTGACAAAACTTTTTTTTTTTCAGAGATGCATGGTTTTTTCTTTTAACCTTTTTTTTTTTCATAGTTGACTTACCTCAGTTCAATATTTGAATTTCAAATCCTAATATTTACTAATTAAATTAAATTATCAATTAACAAAATTATCATTAGATTAATGAATATGTGAATATGTTGTCTAGTTAGCTAAAATAAAGAACATTATTTAAACATATAATATAAATAATTTTATTTAATAGATACATAGTATGATTTATGGTTGCACTTGCACCTCCTCCTTTCATGTTGATTTAGTGACAAACTATAAGAAGTATAAGTACAATCACAAAACTCGCTATAGGATCATGAGTGTAATGGCCTGGTTTAGTTATTGTAGGACGATAGATGAAGTTTACCTATTTTTTCTTCAATCTTTCTCTTACCACTGCATAATATTGTATTTTATTTAGTTCTACAGTCAAAATTTTTAAATGATTTTTCTTTTGTATTTTTAACCTTCAAATAAATTCCATGTCTGGTCTCATGCATTCATTAAAAAAAATAATAAAAATAACTCTTATAGGTGGGAAAAAGTAATGATTTCCTCACAAATTAACTTTACTTACGGATGACACTTGATGTTATAAAGTTAGTTAGATACATTATTGTTGTCCTGAATTTTTATATTTTAAATTGTCATAAGTCATTTTCTTTTACATACACCTTTATATGTAAAATAGAAACTTTTAAAAACTACTTTAATTCTTAACTTTTATATGAATTGGTGTAACTAGTTTTAATATTGTAGATTTAAAAATATTTCCTTTTAACATATTTTGAAAATGTAATGCATGGGATTTGATTTAATACGAGAAGGATATTTAATTTTAAATAATTTATTTATTTTGATGCAATCATCCATTATTCATGGGCTAGGTAGGACCACATTGGTAGCAAAGTTCTTCCAATGATATTTAACATAGTTGCATATTCAGGATTCAAACTCAAGATAACTGATTAAACTAGTACAATCTCTTACCCATTGAGCTATGTAACATCCTAGACAATTTAATCCCTGCTTAACTGGGTAAATGAAGTTAAATAATTAAATTAATGTGGTGTGTGATTACAGAAAGTTAACGGATGTTATGGATCGTAATTTCAACCCTAGGGTTGAGTTTGGAGTAAGGTTAGGCCAACTAGATATCAAAAAAGTGAGAAAAACAAAGGAAAATGGGCTCTGTGCCACATGTTGTGGTGCATTTGCCACATGTTGTGGTGCATGCACGGGATGCTGCAATGCACAGGGCACCAGGAGGTAAAAGCGTCCTCTCTGTACCACAGGTCGCTATGCACAGTGACAAATCTACAAAAATAAGATGCGAAAACAAACATAAAACATAAGAAAAACAAAAGAGGAAGCAATGAGCTCATGGAAACCTTTGCTAGGGTTTGGGGTTTGAAATCATTAAGAGTATTTTGAAGCTTATAACCATTAGAGGTAAGTTTTTTAAACTTAAATCTCCCTTCTCTCTTGCATTTTCTTGGTGATGAGAGTTAGGGTTTATTTGAGGAAGATGATTTTTGGTCTATAAAGGTTATGAGTCTGAACTTATTGACTTAAATAGGGTTAGTGGGAGTTATTTAGATTATTTAGACTAAGTATTTATGGCTCTATGCTTTTTGATAGTTGGGAGCCAAAAATACACGAAAATCTTCCACAAATGAGGTAGATGGAATAATGTGGCTTTATTAATGGCTATATGGGAGTTTAATGAAATTAATGGGAGTTAGAACAAGCTAATAAATCCTATGAGTACCTTTGTATATGAGGAAAATGAATTGTGGGACTGTTAAAGTGTAGAGATAGATATTAAAAATTAACTAAAAAGGGATATTGATGACTTATGTTGTGATTAAATGTAGAGTGATTACCTTTAGCACCATTCAAGCTTCGTAAAAGTTTTAAAAGTATATAATTGAAAGGTAAACTTTTAGCCTATCAAAAGTTTGAAGTAATTGGGAGAATTCTTTCTTGTATTTTTGTGTTTTGATTGATTTATTGATTTAAATATTATAATTGAGTTATGTGAAATTATTGAAATGTAAGTGTGGCATTAAATATTTGAAAATCAATGATTATGTGAATAAGGAGTTCAGTGATTATGTGGTATATGGAGTTCAATGATCTTTGTGTGAATGTGGTTCAATAATTGTGTATTATGAGAAGTTCAATAATTATGTAATGTGTGGAGTTCAACGATTACGTGTGAATGGAGTTCAATGATTGTGTGTTATGAAGAGTTTAACGATTATGTGACATGTGGAGTTCAACGATTAAGTATAAATGGAGTTCAATGATTGTGTGTTATGGAAAGTTTAATGATTATGTGTGATGTGAAGTTTTATGATTAATTGTGAATTGTGGAATGTAGAGTACAATGAAGTGATTGGCATGTTAATGTGTGGAATATTTGCATGTTATGAGAAACTATATTTTGATGCACTGCATGATCATGAGAGGTGGGAGTTCCCTAGGAAGAGGAGTAGAAAATTAAAATTCACATAGTAAGGCTTTCATTAGAGCTTGATGGTTTGCTTGGATTTATTTATATTTATCATTCTACTTGTTCGACAAGGGACTATCTCAGTTATTCAACAAGGAACTCAAACTTAGCTAATTTACCACTTGTTCCATGAGGAAGCTAGTTTAGGAAAAATAACACCCCACAGGATGAGGTTTAAGGAAAATCATGACCCATAAGTGAGTTAGGAAACCTTGGCCGGATAGCATCTCACATGTGAATGGCTAGAGTAGTCTCATCTCTTAGACAAGCCCAGTGTGTTTTAGCTCACAATTTCATGTTAAAGGCACTAGAATGATATGAGGGAGATATGATCATACATAATGTGATAAAAAGGGCACAAGATTGTTTGTACTGTGTCCCCTAAGATGAAATCTTGTGATTAATCTTGTATTATTATGGACATTGATTTTTATGATACCATCTCATGAATTTATGTCATTGATGATGAAAAAGGTGAATATGAGCTTGAATATGTTGATTTGACTTGAGTATGATAACGTTTGTCACTTGCATTTAAATTGATTGACATGCATTAGTATAAGTTAGATGAACATTGGTTATTGAGTGGTTATGCTCATCCCTTTCTTTTTAATATTACAAGACCTAGCTCATTGGATCAAGATCAAGGAAAACAAGTTGAAGCTTAGGATTATATCCTAAAGAAATTAGCAGGCCTAGTTTATTTTGACTATTATTATGTGTATAATCCAAATAATATTGCCAATTAGGGTTGTTCATGTTTAGGCTTACTTGCACTAGGAGATTGTTAAATTATATTGTGTATTTTGGGCATTATGATGTATATGTAATGATTTGTGAGAGTTATAGCAGCGTAAAAATACTAGTGCGAGTAAGAGATAGGTATAACTTGTGATTGATAATAATTAATTGATGATTATGTAATTGAATCTCCCCCTTTTGTTTCTGAAATTAAGGGGTTGAACATTGAAAATGTATTGCATTTGTTATTTGTGAGATGTAGTATATTGCATATATCCATTTTGGTATTTTGAATGTGATTTAGGGTGTGAATTTGGCTTTTGGCATTTGAAGTGCATGTTTGGATTGAATTCTAACTTAGGTTGGGATGGCTTAAACCTAAATTGAAATGTTAAAAGTTCAATTTATTATATTTGAATGACAAAAAATACTCAACTAAGGTTGAGGTTCAAACCAACGTTTTTCACAAAGCTGGACGGGGTAGCTTTTACAATGAGCGTTGGTAGAGTAATGGATGTTAGGGAGCATTTATGCTTTCACATGAGGGTCCATCTACTTCCTTCTGCACTCCTTTCTAATTCCATGCAACTCTACTCTTGGGACAACTTTTTGACTTGTACAACTATGGCAAGTTAACCTCGATCATGAAACTCAAGCCTTCCTTTAATGCTAGACTCTTTTTTAATAGCACTATGATTTTCTT